TTCTACCTCTACAACCACCTTCTTCCACTTCTACCTCACAACCACCTCACTTTCCACTTCTACCTCTACAACCACCTCTACTTCCACTTCTACCTCAACAACCACCTCTACTTCCACTTCTACTTCTACAACCACTTCTACTTCCACAACCACCTCTACTTCCACATCTACCTCCACAACCACATATACTTCCACTTATACCTCTACAACCACCTCTACTTCCACATCTACATCCACAACCACCTCTACTTCAACTTCTACCTCCACAACCACCTCTACTTCCACTTCTACCTCTACAACCACTCTACTCCACAACCACCTCTACTTCATTCTTACCTTACAACCACCTCTACTTCCACTTCTACCTCTACAACCACCTCACTTCCACAACCTCTACTTCCACTCTACCTCTTCCACATCTACATCCACAAACCACCTTATTCCACTTCTACCTCCACAACCACCTCTACTTCCACTTCTACCTCTACAACCACCTCTACTTCCACAACCACCTCGACAACCTCTTCCACTTCTACCTCCACAACCACCTCTACTTCCACTTCGCCTCACAACCACCCTCTACTCCACAACCACCTCTACTTACATCTACTCCACAACCACCTCTACTCCCTAAACCACCTCTACTTCACTTCTACCTCTACAACCACCTCTACTTCCAGACATATACCTCCACAACACCTCTACTTCCACATCTACCTCAACAACCACATCACACTTCTACCTCTACTTCCACTTCTACCTCTCAACAACCATCTACTCCACAACCATCTCTACTTACCACTCTACTCCACATCTACCTCCACAACCACCTCTACTTCCACATCTACCACCACAACACCTCTACTTCCACCTACTCACAACCACCTCTACTTCCACATCTACCTCCACAACCACCTCTACTTCCACATCTACCTCCACAACCACCTCTACTTCCACATCTACCTCCACAACCCCTCTACTTCCTCTTCTACCTCCACAACCACACTACCTCCACAACCACCTATACTTCCACATCTACCTCCACAACCACTCTACTTCCACTTCTTACTTCCTACAACCACCCTCTACTTCCACATCTACCTCAACAACACCACTCTACTTCCACTTCTACCTCCACAACCACTTCTACTTCCACTTCTACCCCACAACCACCTCTTACTTCCACAAACCACCTCTCCACAACCACATCTACTTTCACTTTCTACCTCTCCACAACCACCTCTACTTCCACATCTACCTCCACAACCACTCTACTTCCACTTCTACCTCTACTTCCACACTACCTCCCACAACCACCTCTACTTATCTACCCACAACCACCTTACTTCCACATCTTCCCACAACCACTCTACTTCCACAACGTCCACAACCACCTCTACTTCCACATCTTCTCTACTATCTACAACTACCTCTTCTTCCACTTCTGCCTCCACAACCACCCTACTTCCTCTACCTCCACAACCACCTCTACTTCCACTTCTACCTCCACAACCACCACTACTTCCTCTTCTACCTCCACAACCACCTCTACTTCCACATCTACCTCCACAACCACATCTACTTCCACTTCTACCTCTACAACCACCTCTACTTCCACATCTACCTCCACAACCACATCTACCTCCACAACCACCTTTACTTCCACATCAACCTCCACAACCACCTCTACTTCCACTTCTACGTCCACAACCACCTCTACTTCCACATCTGACTCCACAACCACCTCTACTCCAATCTACCTCACAACCACATCTACCTCCACAACCACCTTTACTTTCACATCAACCTCCACAACCACCTCTACTTTCACTTCTACCTCCACAACCACATCTACTTCCACTTCTACCTCCACAACCACCTCTACTTCCACAACTACCTCCACAACCACCTCTACTTCCACATCTTCTACTCCACATCTCCACAACCACCTCTACTTCCACATCTACCTCCACAACCACCTCTACTTCCACTTCTATCTCCACAACCACCTCTACTTCCTCTTCTACCTCCACAACCACCTCTACTTCCACATCTACCTCCACAACCACCTCTACTTCCACTTCTACCCCTACAACCACGTCTATTTCCACTTCTACCTCCACAACCACCTCTACTTCCACATCTACCTCCACAACCACCTCTACTTCCACATCTACCTCCACAACCACCTCTACTTCCACTTCTTCCTCCACAACCACCTCTACTTCCACATCTACCTCCACAACCACATCTACTTCCACTTCTACCTCCACAACCACATCTACTTCCACTTCTACCTCCACAACCACCTCTACTTCCACTTCTTCCTCCACAACCACCTCTACTTCCACATCTACCTCCACAACTACCTCTACTTCCACATCTACCTCCACAACCACCTCTACTTCCATATCTACCTCCACAACCACATCTACTTCCACATCTACCTCCACAACCACATCTACTTCCACATCTACCTCCACAACCACCTCTACTTCGAAATCTACCTCCACAACCACCTCTACTTCCACTTCTACCTCTATAACCACCTCTACTTCCACAACCACCTCTACTTCCACACCACCTCTACTTTCCATCTACCTCGACAACCACCTCTACTTCCACTTCTACCTCTACAACCACCTCTACTTCCACTTCTACCTCCACAACCACCTTTACTTCCACATCTACATCCACAACCACATCTACTTCCACTTCTACCTCTACAACCACCTCTACTTCCACATCTACCTCCACAACCACCTCTACTTCCACATCTACCTCCATAACCACCTCTACTTCTACTTCTACCTCCACAACCACCTCTACTTCCACTTATACCTCTACAACCACCTCTACTTCCACAACCACCTCTACTTCCACATCGTCCTCCACAACCACAGCTACTTCTACATCTACCTCTACTTCCACATATACCTCCACAACCACCTCTACTTCCACTTCTGCCTCCACAACCACCTCTACTTCTACATCTACCTCCACAACCACCTCTACTTCCACAACCACCTCTACTTCCAGCTCTCTACTTCCACCTCTATCTCCACAACCACCTCTACTTCCTCTTCTATCTCCACAACCATCTCTACTTCCACTTCAACCTCTACAACCACGTCTATTTCCACTTCTACCTCCACAACCACCTCTACTTCCACATCTACGTCTACAATCACCTCTACTTCCACATCTACCTCCACAACCACCTCTACTTCCACTTCTACCTCCACAACCACCTCTACTTCCACATCTACATCCACAACCACATCTACTTCCACTTCTACCTCCACAACCACATCTACTTCCACTTCTACCTCCACAACCACCTCTACTTCCACTTCTTCCTCCACAACCACTTCTACTTCCACTTCTACCTCCACAACCCCCTCTACTTCCTCTTCTACCTCCACAACCACCTCTACTTCCACATCTACCTCCACAACCACCTCTACTTTCACATCTACCTCCACAACCACATCTACCTCCACAACCACATCTACTTCCACTTCTACCTCTACAACCACCTCTACTTCCACTTCTACCTCTACAACCACCTCTACTTCCACATCTACCTCTACCTCCACATCTACCTCCATAACCACATCTACTTCCACTTCTACCTCCACAACCACCTCTACTTCGACTTCTACCTCTACAACCACCTCTACTTCCACAACCACCTCTACTTCCACTTCTACCTCCACAACCATCTCTAATTCCACTTCTACCTCCAACCAACTTCCACTTCTACCTCTACAATCACCTCTACTTCCACATCTACCTCCACAACTACCTCTACTTCCACATCTACCTCCATAACCACCTCTACTTCCACTTCTACCTCTACAACCACCTCTACTTCCACAACCACCTCTACTTCCACATCTACCTCCACAACCACATCTACTTCCACATCTACCTCTACTTCCACATATACCTCCACAACCACCTCTACTTCCACTTCTACCTTTACAACCACCTCTACTTCCACATCTACATCCACAACCACCTCTACTTCCACTGCTACCTCTACTTCCACATCTACACCCACAACCACCTCTACTTCCACTTCTACCTCCACAACCACCTCAACTTCCACATCCATCTCCACAACCACCTCTACTTCCACTTCTACCTCTACAACCACCTCTACTTCCACTTCTACCTCCACAATCACCTCTACTTCCACTTCAACCTCTACAACCACCTCTACTTCCACTTCTACCTCCACTACCACCTCTACTTCCAATTCTTCCTCCACAACCATCTCTACTTCCACTTCCACCTCTACAACCACCTCTACTTCCACATCTACTTCTACAACCACCTCTACTTCCACTTCTACCTCTACAACCACCTCTACTTCCACATCTACCTCCACAACCACAACCACCACCACAACGACCATTACTTCAACTTTTACCTCTACAACCTCCTCTACCACAACACCTTCCCCCGGTAACTGTACTATTAGCACATCAGCTGATACCGTTTCCTTCCAATCCCCTAATTATCCAAGTGATTATCCAAATAACAAGATCTGTACACTTCCACCAACATATATGGTAAGCGACTACAATAAAATGCATTACAATAAAAGGAATTATATATAACTAAATATATCGTATAGCTTGAGTGCGTATGTGTGTGATTGTTTATATATACACGTACACATATATATCTATCTATATATCTATATTTATCTCTCTCTCTCTCTCTCTCTCTCTCTCTCTCTCTCTCTCTCTCTCTCTCTCTCTCTCTCTCTCTATATATATATATATATATATATATATATATATATCCATATGTATATGTATAAATGTGTATGTGTGTGTGTGTGATATATATATATATATATATATATATATATATATTATATATATTATATATATCATTATCATCATCAGGAGCTAACGCCTATGGGGGCGCATAGCCGCGTCCACCTTTTGCTTCCACCTTTTGGGATCCCTCATGGCAAGCCGCCAGGCAGGGACTCGGCTCATCTCGAGCTCTTCCCGACAGGTTTTGATCGATCTGCCCAAGCCACGACCTCCTAGGTCGTCCCATAGGCCTCCTCCACCCTGGGTTGTCTTTTACAGAAACAACATGATGAGCAGGATCAGCCTGTGGAAAACGAGCCAAATGGCCATATAGCCTGAGTTGGCGATCCCGGATTGTGCAGGTAATAGGTCCTGTGCCAGTCTCACGGTGCAGCCATTGGTTAGACACATGGTCCCGCCAACAGTACCCCATGATCCGCCGCAAGGACCTATTACAAAATGCATCAAGACGAGACTCCAGTGCACTGGATAATGTCCAGGTTTCACTACCGTAGTGCAAAACTGGCATTACCAGGGCCCTGAAAACCCGTAGCTTGGTCCTTCTGCACAGGTACCGGCACCTCTTGTCGAGATAGTTCATAACCCCTGCTGCCAGGTCTGACAGCCCAGAATTATGAACTGCACTACCAAGGTATGTAAAGCTCTCTCTGACTTCAATGTCCTCGTCACAAGCACGTAGCGACCGAACAGGTTCTCCTAGCAAGTCCGCAAAGTCCTGGCTCTTGGTCTTGGTCCAGGACACCTCTAGACCCAAGGGCTTTGCTTCATTATTAAATGCATTGAGAGCCACCACTAGGGTTTCCAAAAACTCAGATAGAATAGCAACATCATCAGCAAAGTCAAGTCTGTAACCTTAATATTACCCAGTGTTGCTCCACAATGACTTTGAACAGTAGCTCTGCTTAGTATCCAGTCCATGCAAGTGTTGAAAAGTGTTGGTGCAACAACACAGCCTTGTTGGAATTCCTCTCAGTTTCAGGGTCTCCCAGAATGATTCTCAATGCACTGTATCGAATTCCTTCGTGAGGTCGATGTAGGCTGCAAGCAGCCCACGTCCAAACTCATGACGGCGCTCTACAATGACTCGAAGCACAAGGATATGGTCTATTGTGGACTTACCAGGAGTGAATCCAGATTGCTCTGGCCTCTGATGCCTTAGTAGATGGTCTCTAATACGCCTCAGAAGGATGCGGGCAAGAACCTTGCCTGGTACACAGAGCAGTGTGATGCCGCGGTGATTGCTGCAGTCCCATCGGTCCCCCTTCCCCTTCCAGAGAGGGATGACCACACTCCTCAATAGGTCAGGGGGAACAGTACCGGACTGCCAGATGGCAGCCAGGACAGCATGCAATCCCTGCGCCATAGGTTCACCACCAGCCTTTAACAATTCAGCTGGGATGCCGCAAATACCCGCTGCTTTACCACTCTTCAGCTTGGAGATCGCCTCCCTAACTTCAGTTAGGGACGGTGGGTCCTCGCTAATGGGTTGGTCCAGCAGCGGAATCACGGCACTACCGACATCCAAGTTAACCGTTGGAGGGTCAACCTGATACAGCTGCTCAAAGTACTCAGCCCAACGCTCCCTCACCGCAACAGGATCTGATACGATCTGGCCACCTACTAAGGGAACTGCAGTCACCTGTGAAGAGGGCTTGGAGTTCAGTTTTCTTAGAGTTTGGTATGCAGGACGAAGGTCATTTACTAAGAAATGGCCTTCGACCTCCTCAGCAAGACTCCTAATATACTGTTCCTTGTCCCTTCTTAACAGAGACCGAGTTCTGCACACCTGAGAATGGTGAAAATCCCGATCCACTGCCAGACGAGCCGCACGGCAAGCATCTGTGGCTTCCAGTGTCTCCTGAGAGATTAAATTCTGTCTTGCTCTCGGGCGTTCTCAATCGATTCTTGGGCTGCATCAAACATTTCGCACTTGAAGGGTGTCCCACAGAAGTACAGGGTCCGTCAGATTGTCAAGCGCTGTGAAAACGACCAGAGATTGCCTCAGCAAACCTCCGAGCACACTCCCTCTCCTTCAGCCTGTCCAGATAAAACACCCTAGGATGGTCACTGAGCCGCTGGGGAGTTTTGAAGTGAACCCGGAGGGTAGCCACAACCAATCTATGGTCAGTACCACAGAACTCGGCACCTATACACCCTGCAGTTCTGAGGATCCTCTAACAAATGCTAACGAGAATGGGTCGATCTCCTTGGCTGCATTACCCGCATTGCTGTACCATGTCCAACGATGTGAGTCTGGGCGCTGGTACCAGGAGCCAGAAATCCTCAATTTCTGGGATCTTGCAAAATCCCGAAAAAGGAGGTAATTTTCACTGCCGGTATCAACTCCCGAAACATGAGGACCGACTGACTTCTCATAGCCAGCTCGATTGCAGCCAGATACCGCATTGGTCACCCAGAACAATACGAATATCTGCCACAGATACAAGTTTGGCGTAGAACATCTCTTTCACGTCAAGTTTACAAACATCGGTAGGAGCGTACACAGCAATAAGAGACATGAAGCCAAAAGACAGCTTCAGTCTCATTACCATTATACGCTCATAAACTGGAGTGACCTCTACCACCAAGGGCTGGAGCCTACTGGGGACAGCTATGGCTTTTCTCTGAATATGGTGACCATCGC